TGCCGAAATCAAAAACTTATCGAATCGATAAAATAATCATACGGCTAATTTTTAACCAGGTGTCCCACGGATAATGATAACAGCTGTAATCTATTGACAACGTCGAACGCCGAGTCGGTCGCTCCTCAATCGGATACGTCGTGTAACCTATGAATCGGCTTAGTCGAAAAGAGTGTGTTAGATTTGGAGAGTGGGTAATTTATGATCGTATGTGTTATTATGATGTAGCGAAAGCTGGGAAGTATTATGAGACGAATGTTATTGATCACGAACTTCACTGTTTTCTTTGTAGGGCTCGGAGCCTTTATTATATATTTTCTTTTACATAGTACGCATTATACATCTTATCCGTGATATATTACTTATGTTATTATCCTACTTATACGATTATAATGTTTATACTGATTATACCCTTTATCCCACTGATTCCCCTTATAACGCTGATATCCTTTAAAAACCCGATACGATTTACAACGTATCGGTATAATACCGGGAAACCCATCTTAGGTAAAAGATCGACATACCCCGTTCTGCAATACATAGAAAATAAATAGATTCGCCAATTTCGAACACTGCTTCTAACTGAACGATTTCAGTCTGGTCGTTAGCATCCCTAAACAGAATTCAAAAATTATACGTAGTACTTACAGAATAAAACCTTTTTAGGTAACAGACGTCGAAATACTTAATGTAACATTAATAATATAATTGTATTTAATATATTTTGTAAAACAACTAATTCTAAAAAAAACAAAGTACTACAAATCACGCTCCTGATTCTTTTATAACTATATATAATTTATATTGAAGCATGTATAACCAATTCTTTGTAATAAACACCTATAATTTAATAATTTACTATAATAACCGAATATTATTTTTCTAACTCCTTAGATATAATATTGAAAACGTCTAGTCATTAATTAATCCTTTAAGATCAAAGTACCGCTCGTGGATATAGACGTTCTATTCTTAAAGACTTATCTATATCTGCCATTGATTTATCATATGCTTTCATATAAAAGTGCGTTATACCACGTTGTCGCAATGCGAATGCATTTTTTGGTTCAATTATGAGCGATTCATTTAAACATTTAAGTGATTGATTATAATCACCTTCTTTATTATAAATTGCTCCGTGGTATCCTAGTGCAAACGAATCTTTTGGATCAATTACTAACGACATTTTTAAATCCTCGCGTGACTTCGCAAAGCAATCAATCATATAATAAGTTGCACCGCGATTTTTTAATACAAATTCATTATTAGGTTCTATTTCGAGAGACTTATTTAAATCTGAAAGTGAGTCAATATATTTTTCTAATATTCTGTAAATTGCACCACGAACTCCTAATGCAATTGCGTTAGTCGGCTCAATTCTCAGTGATTTATTTATATCTTTGAGTGAACTTTCATAATTTCCTGCCATATAATGAGTCCTTCCACGGATTCCTAAAGAATTGGCATTATTTGGATCGATTTCTAATGATTTATTTAAATCAGAGAGCGATTTATCATAGCTTTTCATATAACAATAAGTTATCCCACGCTGTTGTAATGTAAATGCATCATTCGGCTTAATTCTTAGCGATTTATTTAAGTCATTAAGCGACATCACATATCTTTTAGTTTTGCAGTAATTTATTCCACGGTATCTTAAGGAAAATGCATCAAATGGATCAATTTCTAACGATTCATTTAAATCTGCAAGTGATTTTTTATAATTATTATGCCGATTGTTTTGATAAGAACCGTCTAAATACTCAATTATATATTCATTTATCATAATATATGTTGCACCGCGGTGTTTTAATGCAAATGCATCATTTGGCTCTATTTCAAGTGATTTATTTAGATCTGCAAGTGCTTTATCATAATATTTCATTATTCTATATATAGCACCACGATTTTTTAATGCAAACGCGTTATTCGGTTCTATTTCAAGAGATTTATTCAAGTCAATAAGTGATTTATCGTATTTTTTCATTACTCTGTAAATTGAACCACGGCTTCCTAGGGCAATGGCATTAGTTGGTTCAATTTCTAATGATTTATTTAAATCTTTAAAAGACTTTTCAAAATTTCTCATCATATAATAAGTCCTTCCACGAATTCCCCAAGAATTTGCATTATCTGGATCGATTTTTAGTGATCTATTTAAATCTTCAAGCGATTTACTATAAGATTTCATATAATAATAAGTTACGCCACGTTGTTGTAATGTTAATGCGTTATTCTGCTCAATTTTTAATGAACTGTCCAAATCTTTAAGTGACATTCTATATTTCTTAATCTTACAGTAATTTATTCCACGAAGTCTTAAAGCAAATGCATCATTTGGTTTAATCTGTAGTGATCTATTTAAATCTTCAAGTGATTTTTCGTATTTATTACGCTGGTGAATGCGATACTGATGATTCGAATAATTGTTGGTCTGATAAGAGTTGTCTAAATCTTCATTTGTCATAAGATAAGTCGCAGCACGATATTTTAATGCAAATGCATCATTTGGCTCTAGATTAAGTGATTTATTTAAGTCTACAAGTGATTCTTTATACTTTTTCATAATTCTATAAACATAACCACGATTTTTTAATGTAAATGCATTATTTGGTTCTATTTCAAGAGATTTATTCAAATATATAAGTGATTCATCATATTTTTTCATTACTCTGTAAATTGCACCACGGATTCCTAGGGCAATGGCATTAGTTGGCTCAATTTCTAATGATTTATTTAAATCTTCAAGAGAGTTTTCCAATTTTCCCATCATATAATAAGTCCTTCCACGAACTCCCCAAGAATTAGCGTTATATGGATCAAATTTTAGTGATCTATTTAAATCCTCAAGTGATTTACTGTATAATTTCATACAATAATAAGTTATTCCACGTTGTTGTAATGTAAATGCGTCATTCTTCTCGATCTTTAGTGAATTGTTTAAGTCAGTAAGTGAAAATTCATACATCCTAAACTTACAGTAATTTATTCCACGATATCTTAATGTAAATGCATCATTTGGTTCAATTTGTAGTGATCTGTTTAAATCTGCAAACGATCGGTCATGATTAAAATTTAGATATCCATAGTGATAGTAAGGCAAGAAAGAATTATTGCTTAACATAATATAAGCTGCACCACGATATTTTAATGCAAATGCGTTATCTGATTCTATTTTAAGAGATTTATTCAAGTTTTCAAGTGATTCATTATATCTTTTCATTATAAAGTAGATCGCACCACGATATTTTAATGCAAATGCATCATCTGATTCTATTTCAAGCGATTTATTTAAATCTGCAAGTGAATTATCATATTTTTTCATACTTCTGTAAATTGCGCCACGATTTCCTAATGCAATTGTGTTAGTTGGCTCAATTATTAATGATTTGTTTGAATCTTCGAGCGAATTTCCATAATTCCCTATCATATAATAAGTCCTTCCACGAATTCCTAAGGAACTAGCGTTATTTGAATCAATTTCTAATGATTTATTTAAGTCTTCAAGTGATTTATCATATAATTTCATACAATAGTAAGTTATGCCACGTTGTTGTAATGTAAATGCGTTATTCGGTTCAATTTCTAGTGAATTATTCAAATCATTAAGTGACATTTCATACTGCTTCCTCATACGGTAATTTATCGCACGATATTTTAATGCAAACGCATCATTTGGTTTAATCTTGAGTGAATTGTTTAAATCTGCAAACGATTGGTCATGATTAAAATTTAGATATCCATAGTAAGGCCCGAAAAAATATTTGTTTATTATAATATAAGCTGCACCACGATATTTTAACGCAAATGCGTTATCTGATTCTATTTTAAGAGATTTATTTAAGTCTTCAAGTGATTCATTATATCTTTTCATTATTAAGTAGATCGCGCCACGATATTTTAACGCAAATGCGTTATCTGGTTCTATTTTAAGAGATTTATTCAAGTCTTCAAGTGATTCATTATATCTTTTCATTACGAAGTAGATCACACCACGACATTTTAATGCAAATTCATCATCGGATACTATTTCAAGAGATTTATTCAAGTCTTCAAGTGATTCATTATATCTTTTCATTATTAAATAGATCGCACCACGATATTTTAACGCAAATGCATCATCTGATACTATTTCGAGCGATTTATTTAAATCTGCAAGTGAATTATCATATTTTTTCATTCTTCTATAAATTGCGCCACGATTTCCTAATGCAATTGCGTTAGTTGGCTCAATTATTAATGATTTGTTTGAATCTTTGAGCGAGTTTTCATAATTCCCTATCATATAATAAGTCCTTCCACGAATTCCTAAGGAACTAGCGTTATTTGGATCAATTTCTAATGATTTATTTAAGTCTTCAAGTGATTTATCATATAATTTCATACAAAAGTAAGTTATGCCACGTTGTTGTGATGTAAATGCGTTATTCGGTTCAATTTCTAATGAATTATTCAAATCATTAAGTGACATTTCATACTGCTTCCTCATACGGTAATTTATCGCACGATATTTTAATGCAAACGCATCATTTGGTTTAATCTTGAGTGAATTATTTAAATCTGCAAACGATTGGTCATGATTAAAATATAGATATTCATAGTAAGGCCCGAGAGAATATTTACTTAACATAATATAAGCTGCACCACGATATTTTAATGCCCATGCATTATTTTGTTCAATTTCTAGTGATCGGCTTAAATCTACTAATGATTTTTCATAATTTTCCATAGAATAATATACGTATCCACGAAGCCTTAATGCATGAGCGTCGTTTGGTTCAATTTCTAAAGATTTACTCAAATCTTCAAGCGACTTTGTATATTTTGTTGCATTAAAATAAGTTGCACTACGTTGCTTTAATGCCCATATATCATTTGAATTTATTTTTAGTAAATTATTACAAATTTCAAGCAATTCGTTACAACTGCACCTTTCAGGAATTATTCTTATGACATCTGGCAAGTGTCTATTCAAAATACTTCCACTTAAAATATTAATCTTAAGTCTCGGGTAATTTCTTAAAAGTAACACTCTCTTCTCTATTGAACCATTATTCAGATGTAAAATAAAATCAACAATCCGATTACTTTTATAAAAAATGGATTCAAAGATCTGATTTAATAGATTGATTTTTAAATCGAAATTTTCATTATGACCAAAGGATAATTGAATTGAATGTTCATGACTTTTGAGTGGAACATTTGCAAGAAGAGAAAGAGCACAATGTAGATTTATTGTTTTGTCCAAATGAATTTCAAGTCTCCTTAAGGGATTATGTGTTCTGTGAATTAGAGCAAGTTGTTCTAATGTATTAAGTGGAATTTTTAAATATTCAAGGTTTAACACATGTTGTGTAATAATTTTAACAAGTTGAGTAATATCAGGATAAGAAAGAGAATACCAGTCAAGTATAAGTTTTTTAAGTGTTTTGCAACTTGTCTTGATGAGATCAGATAATAACTGAATTGGGATCATGTTATCATAAATGTTATAAGCACCATAAGAATATTCTAAAGATGTTAAGTTCGAAAAAGCAGTGCCGAGAGAAAAATATGCAGGGGAGTTGAGCCCTTCACAGTGTTTAAACTTCAATTGACTGATCTTTGTACACTGAGCCAGTGCATTGATAGATCTGTTACATAATCGATAAGCAGAATAATTGAAATATATTATCTTAGTTAAGTCCTTATTTTGATGCATGTCTTCAAATGCTACACTTTTAAGTGAATGTTTCTGATCCATGAGAGCTTGAAGAGGATATGATACAAATTTATTGCTGTTAATCAGAGAGAACTTTTTTAAACGCTTTTGAGAACGGATAAGGACTGCTAAAGCCTTTCCTTCACCTTTATAACAAATACTAGCTTTAAGATTTTCAATATTATGACAGTTCTCTGCAATGATATTAAAAAGCTGATTTTTTTGAATTGCCCAATGGTAGCTGCAATTAAAATAAGTCAATCCATTGAATATAGAAGTGAATTTAGAAAAATGAGTAAGAACCCGAGATCCTAAATTATTCAGCCATTTAAGATTGCTATAGATATCAAAATTGCGTAATATTACATTATACATAGCAAATATTTTAAATAATTCAATTATAATATCTTTACAACATTTGTTTGCTACGGCTGCATTAAGGAATTGGTCATATAAAAGCTCTTTAAGAAATGATGGATAATTAAAAAACGGAGGCCTAGTAATTGACAGCCCAATTCTTTTATTATATCCTGATTTGAAAAAAGTACTATCTGGTATAAATGCAAGATAGGTTTTTATCACTTTTGGAGATGGAACATGGTTGTCTTTAATTTTAAAGGGTGCTTCCCATAAAATTGGAACGGCACAAGTAGCCCAATGTCTATTGACTAAGAGACAAGAATGCAAATCTTTATAAGTCGGAAGAAATCTAAATATCATGTCAAAATATTCTGGAGCAAACATTCGATCCATTATAATATTTGAGATCTTAGAAATAGTTATAGTAATGATTTCAAAAACTGTAGTAGGTGTAAGTTTAAATCGATAATACGTATAGCGATAGGTATCGGGTATGCTTTTTTAAGCGTACGTAACTTCTTTATATTTTAACTATATTTGGATATGCATTTGGGCGGATTTGATTCCATTTAAATATGCGAAAGATGCGAAGTGCTATGTGGTACCTACAGTACTGGGGTCTTTGAAGTAGAAAAGGTAGAAATTACCCCAAAATAAAAAATGTGGTTTATTGAATTATGGTAAATTTCGATGCAGTGAACATTTTTTATTACCAATTTGTATAATTAAATCGAGATAATGTAAAAAAAGGTTACACGTTGCTGCCTAAAGTCAAGTATACCACGAGATTACCCTGTCACCTTTAATCAATGAAAATCGTGAATTTTGGGTTAACCCGAAATTCACAAGTTATTAAACCAATTACAGAATTATCTCAAAATAAAATATTTTCCTTCTACTGCAAATTGATATGTGCGCTGACTGATTTGATCAAGTGACTTCCGAGAGTTACACACGTGTAACGTGAAAATCAATGATTAAGGTTCGGATTACAACTTGCATTTTGCATTTAGAACATAGCGATAGTATGCAGTATTTAGTAGGTACTCAAGTAGGCAAAATTATTGAGTAGCTTTTGTATATAATGACATATCTACATGTTATACTCGGAACAAGTACGGAATAAGATTTTCAATTCAATTTGAATGGTACAAACGAGAGGTTTGAAAAGAAAATTCGTATACATAAAACAGTTTAAATGGGTAAAGTTTAATAATTTAATACAAATATAATTCAAGAATATTTACCTAATCTTTTTAGCTTTATATAAATTAGATTTTGTAACAAGACAAGAAAATGGTGCATTTTCATTAAAGAATCATGGATATGAAGAAGCACTTACCGAGTTAAATAATTTATTAGAAATCGAACCAAATAATGTAATAGCGTTAGAAAATCGTGGATTAATTTATCTTTCAATGAGTAGATATAAGGAGTCTCTTGAAGATTTAAATAAGTTACTAGAAATTAAACCAAACAATGCATATATTTTAAGTTATCGTGGGATAGTTTATCGCATGGTAGGAAGATTTGAAGAGTCTCTTGCAGACTTAAATAAATCATTGGAAATTGATTCAAATAATGCCTCCGCATTAAATTATCGTGGAGAAACTTATTATGAGATTGATATGTATGAAATATCACTTGAAGATTTTAATAAATCATTAAACATTGAATCAAATAACGTAACCACTTTAAATAATCGAGGAGCAACTTATCGCATACTAGGATTATACAAAGAATCGCTCACAGATCTAAACAAATCGTTAGAGATTGAGCCTAATAATGCATTAGCGTTGAAGAATCGTGGATTGACTTATTACATTATGGGAAATTATGAAGAGTCAATTACGGATTTTACAGAATTATTAAAAATTGAACCGAATAATACGTTTGCACTACGAAATCGAGGGAAAATATATTATAAAATGGGAAAAAATGAAAAAGCAATTGTAGATTTAGATGAGGCATTAGAAATTGAATCGAATAATTCATGGGTAATAGTGATTGATAAGATCTATCAAATGATTAACAGATATGAAAGGACATTTGCGGATTTTACTAAATTGTTGAAATTTGATCCAAATGACGCATTTGAATTAAAGAATCGAGGGGCAACCTGCCGTGTGTTGGGTAGATGCGAAGAATGGCTTATAAAATTTGAAAAACCGGTTGAGACTGAGTTAGAGACTGAGTTGAAGAGTAAATTTATATCAAAAAGTCGAGAAGTATTTTACCCCCAAAAGGACAGATATAAAGAAGCAATAGCAAATTTAGATAAATCATTGGAAATTGAACCTAATAACGCAGATACTTTACGAATTCGTGGAGAAACGTACTATATGATGGAAAATTTTAATGAAGCGCTTATAGATTTAAACAGATCATTAGAAATTAAACCATCAGATGCATCAGCATTAAGAATTAGAGGAGCAATTTATCGCATGATAAAAAGAGATAAAGAATCGCTTGAAGATTTAAACAAATCATTAGAAATGAAACCGAACAATGCATTGGCGTTAAGGCATCGTGGAATCACGCACAGAATAATGGATAATTATGAAGAATCACTTAAAGACCTTAATCAATCATTAGAGATTGAACCAAATTATGCAAGGGCATTGACAGATCGAGGTTCAACTTATCGATTTCTGGGAAAGTATAAAGAATCACTTGCAGATTTGAATAAATCTTTAGAAATTGAACCATATGATGCATATGCATTGACAGATCGTGGAATAACTTATCAAAGTATGAGAAGACATGAAGAAGCACTTACAGATTTGAACAAATCGATAGAAATAGAACCAAATAACGCATCGGCATTAATTTATCGTGGAATATCATATTGTGATATGAAAAGATATGAAGAAGCACTTGCAAACTTTAATAAATCATTAGAAATTGAACCAGATAATGCATTTACATTAAGAGTCCGTGGAGTAACACACCTCGAAATGAATAGGTTTCAAGAATCGCTTGCAGATTTTAACAAATCATTTGAAATAGAACCATATGATGCATGGACACTGTGCGGTCGAGGAGAAGCATATCGTAGAATGGCTAGATATAATGAGTCACTTGCAGATTTAAACAAATCATTAGAGATCGAACCAGATAATGCATTTATTTTAAGTTGTCGTGGAGAAACTTATCGTGTAATGCAAAGATATGATGAATCACTTGCAGATTTCAATAAGTCGTTAGAAATTGAGCCAGATAATGCATGGGCATTAAAAACTAGAGGAGAGATTTATCTTATTACCGACTTTGAAGAAAAATCATTTGCAGATTTTAAAAAATCGGTAGAAATAGGGACATGGTATTAAATGTTTGCGAAATATAATAAATCTAAAGCCTTTTAGACTTATTAAACTTTAAGGAAGTAATTGGCAATTTTATTAATCATATACTAATCTAATTATCGAGAAATTTTTGTTCATTACAGAAATACTATTTTTAAAATATCATTACAATATTACTGCAATGTAGTTATAATGTTTAGGCTATTAAAATTTTTTTACATTATTCATATTACAGTATTAAACATATATATTGTAAATTTCTCTTATAGTTATAATATTGTTGCAATATTGTTCTAATATTCTGATTTTAAAATAACAAAATTGGGTCTTTATTCTGTTATTGTACATTAAAGAGCGCGTGTCGAGATAACTTTCGGAAAAATTGTAAAGTGTAGGTAACGCTGGAAAATTTATCAGTTTCTATTTAATAATGGGTGTTATACTAGAAAATTAGTATGCGGCAGGAAAACTTTGGAATTGTTATTTTTTAGCTGACAATTAGTAAAAAAAAAAAAAAAGATAATTTTGTAGATTTACGCGTTACTGGTCGAAAAATATAAGTAATTTTCTGTGATCATGCTACCAAATTATATCGGATTGTAGTATTGTAGGAAATCTGGTTTGAGATTTATGTTCTCATGAGATCAAAATTATTTAATGTTCTAAAAATATTTTTATGTTCACGATAATTTATTTTTTTATGTTCACGATAATTTATTTATGTTCACATTTTTTAGAAAATTTTTTCGGAAAATATCGGTGATTTGGTTAAATTTTTGTTCCAGATTTGCTCGTCTTTTATTTCTTTCCGGAATTTTTCTGAGCCTTAATCAACTTCAAATTGTATATATAATATACTCTCGAAATTTTTTTTTTTTATAAAAAACATGTTTTAAAGTAACAGATGACCTCAAATCTAAAGGTATGTTCTCATAGAACACGAAAACATCAGATTTCAAACGCTTGATTGCAGTTTATATCGTAGTTAATCGACCGCTTAATGGAAAGGATAACCAGAACAATGAATAATTCTATAGGACAACTATTAAAATGACACTATATTAATTTCGGGTTTACTTATTATTATACAAACTTTTTTACACACATTTGTTAAAGTGTTAATCAGTTAATTCTGCTAGTAAAAATGTTTGCGAAAAAAATTTTTACATACTAAAATTCGGTGCATTTCTATAAATTAATGTTTTCGTTATGAAAATTTGTAATATATACGATTAATTTTTTTTAATATACTCTCATTTTCATAATTAATTTGGCAACCATAAAGATTTAAGGAGAATAAAGTTGTATTTATATAAAGAGCCTCCGCTAATTCTTTTATTACTTCAGAGGGAAGTTGATTGTAAGAAAGACTCAAATAAGTTAAAGTGGTATTCCTATAAAGAGCCTCTGCAAATGCCTTTCCTCCCTCGCTACCAATATTATTATAAACAAGGCCTAATGAAGTTAGAGTAGTGTTTTTGCACAGAGCATCTGCAATTGCTTTTCCTCCTTCATTACCAATAATATTATTGTTAAGGTTTAAAGAAATTAGAGTTGTGTTCTTGCATAGAGACTTTGCAAATGCTTTTCCACCCTCGATAGCAATATTATTATCATTAAGATTTAAAGAAATTAGAGTAGTGTTCTCGCATAAAACCTCACCAAATGCCTTTCCTCCTTCATTGCCAATGCTATTACGTTCAAGATCTAAAGAAGTTAGTGAAGTGTTTACATAAAGTGCTTCTGCTAATGCCTTTCCACATTCATTACCAATGTTATTATTATTAAGATTTAAAGAAATTAGAGTATTATTCTTGGTTAAAGTCTCTGCAAATGCTTTTCCTCCTTCATTACCAATATTATTATATTCGAGGTCTAAATAAATTATAGTAGTGTTCTTGCATAGAGCTTCTGCAATTGCTTTTCCTCCTACATTACCAATATTATTATGTTCAAGATTTAAAAAAGTTAATGTAGTGTTTATACTAAGAGTCTTTGCCAATGCCTTTCCAACCTCAGAACTAATGTTGTTATCAGGAAGATTTAGGTAAGTTAGAGTGACATTATTACTAAGTGCCTTTGCTAATG